TTTTTTCCAAAATAGCCTCTAAAATGTTATGCTGTGGATTTTAATCTTATGATGTATCTGGCAGCACGGGACTCATTTTTTGTAATGGATCTGAGCAACACATATTTGTAAATGAGGATGTTATGTACAGGTGAATAAGCCTTATTGCAACTCTCTGCACAGCCTTTCCATCACAGCAGCTTTTAAATCTCTTCCGCAAAATTGACGTATGGTGCATAAATTACAAGATTGGCAGAAATGTATTCTAACCTGTAGAACGTGAAAAACATGTTAATTTTCAATTGTTTCTGCTTTTTTACAATCAGACATTTTCCGAAAACCCTGCATGATTTATTCTTTTCTTTTTAATGAATTGTTAAAAATGTTTGAAAAGGCATTAAATCTTCCCCTCTGCCATTAATCTACAGATGGGGGAAATAGGGGGGTTAAATGGCCTCTTACTATATTGCTTTATAAAACTGCTGATTCTAGCAATGCCAAGATAGAAATACATACTAATGTAAGGAGCCCTGAATGCAAACAGCAAGCTCTTTACATTTATGGAGAAAAGACTAATAGCCTCATTTTAACAAGGCTCTTAACACCAGGCCTTTAGCATGCATTGAGTGAATGGAATCGGGAGGACTCCCATGGACTAAAAGCTTCTTAATTCAACATTCATACTTAACATGGAGCCCTCCTGATAAGCTCTCATAATCTAGCCAAGTAGGGTTGCCATGTTGAAAGCACACCAAAATGAACTTTTTAAGTTATTTTGAACATTTCACTTCTTAAGTCACATCACTGATGGAAAGATAAATACATTTGAAACCCAATTGTGTGCTCTAATATAACAATGTTATGGAAAATTCTAGATTTCTGTTATGACTTAAGTCAAGATTGCTTCTCTCAACTATATATATATATGGCATTAAGTCCAAGTTGGTGTTTAAAAAAAAAACAGTTGGAGGCTAGCAAGAGAGATAAAGTATTTCTTAAAATAATTCTACTTTCAATGGATTAGAACTTCTGACTTTTTTTGTGAGGAGAAAGGTTCCTCACAAATTCCTTACTAGTTGCTTTGAGTAAATCTAACCCTAAGTTTTGTTGGTAACAGCACAAAAAAAGAACCATGACTACACGTGCCTGCATACCTCCTTTTTCTCCCACCTCCTCCTAAAGCACCCTTCTCTACTTTGGCTCTGTAAGTTTTGGCAGCTCCCAATCCCTAGTACCATACAATTTACTTGACAATTTCCTAGCTACAAAATGGAGTATTTGTGGGAAGACAGCAATTCACTTGAAAAAGTCCTTGGAGTTTTGATGAACTCCAAGGTCAACATATGAGCATGTTTTAGCAGCCAGAAATTTCTAATCGAATTTTAGGCTGGATTAAAAGAAACATGAGGTCTACTATAGCCTACCCTGGCCAAACCACATTGGGAGTACTGTGTGCAGTTCTAGGAAGGGCATGATGGCTATCTTCAACTGTTTGAAGGACTCTCATGTGAAAGAGGCTTCGGCTTGACCTGAGAGGGCAGAACTAGTAGCAGGGGTTGATAGTTGCAAAAACACAAATTTAGACTTGTTAAGACAAATCTCCTAACAAATAAAAGTATCCAAAAATTATAGTGGGATGTCTTTGGAGGCAATGGGTTTTCTATTATTGATGTATTTTAAGCAAAGATATAATGACCACTTGTTGAATATGTAAGGAAAGAAATGTTCATTTAGGTACATTTGCACTAGCTGGCCTCTCAGATCTCTTCTAACTTGAAGAGTCTGTTTCATGTAATCTTTGACAACCAAGGCAACAACCTATAAGGCCCCACCTTTAATTGGGATGTTAACAATGAATGGAACTGAAGAAGAGAATCTATTTTCATCATCATCCTTAACATCTGTTGAGCTCCTGTTGTGAATACAATCATGAGTTGTTCATTATATATACTTAAGAAGCTTAGAGTATGTAAATGAGATATTGACTCATTAAGATATGATTTTAGTGAGTCTGTGATTTTCTTGATATAGACACTCCCTCTATCAATGTAGATCACAAGCCCTGAACATCTTTTCATCCTGTGTAGTTCTTGCATATTTACATTTTCCCATAAATCCTTTACATTGGATCTACCTAAAATTCTCAAAACTTTCATCCTATTTTTTTGCCATCCGGAGCAGAAGTGCCCAGGGGCACGAAGCCTTCACAGTTCTGTGAATGTAGCCTTGTAACCAGATTAAAATGTAATTGTAAAATGTTTAACAAAATAAATAAGAATATAATACAGCACAGATGATGTTAATTTGTGGTTTTCTAAGTCAATATGTGAGTCTAGGATCTTGAGTTTGACAACCCTGCCGTAGAGGCTATTAAATATACCACTTTGGCTGCCTATCTGTTGTCTCTCATTCCAATTATATGACTAACCAAACACCTTTCCTCTTCATGCAAATATCCAAAATATCTTCCGTGCAACTTTTCACATTCAAGTTATCATTATTAATATGCTAAATCTTGTTTATACTTTATAATACATTTGAAATATTGATATAAAAAGTGATGCACTTTTGTTAACAATGAACAGTTGAGGAGCTTTGAAAGCACATTACAGATTCTTAAATGTGACTCAACCCCATCTCTTGTTGCTATTTGCATCCAAGTCCATTTCATTGTTCCTCTATCATGCCTTTTCAGGGTCCAGACATTGATGGAAAATTCAGTAGACTACTTGTCCAGCTCTTTGTTATGGTCAATGTACAATCAACCCTACACAGGAAAAACAGTCTCAAATTTCTATGGACTTCATTCAGAAGCTTATGTAGTCATCCTAAGCTCAATACAATTAGAACATTGACACTTGAAATATAAATCTAAATTAAACATTTAGATTGTCTATGAAGTAGATAGGGCATTGAATATAGAGTCCAGAGAGACCTAAGTTCAAATCTTGACTCTGCTATGTATTAGTTGTGTGACCTAGGGCAAATCACTTACCCTTTGTAATCTGGTGCTTGTTGAAGCTAAATGAGATCATATATATAAAATGCTTTGGAAACCTTAAAATGCTATATAAAGTTGATGATGATGATGATGATGATGATGATGATGATGATGATGAAGATGACAACTTCAATGATGGTTTAGAGCTGAAAGGGATAACCTATACCAACTGTAAATTTTACAGAGGAGGAAATCAGATCCAAGAAAGGTTGATAACTTGTCCAAAGTCACACAAGTAACAATTAGCAAGGCCAGGCTTTGAGCCAAGGGCCAATGATTATAAATCCAATATCCTTTTCATAGTGTCATGCTGGTTCTCATCATCAGTAAGAAATCCTATCTGAACCTTAGATAGGGCAACTTCCATGATACAAGCAAATATTTAGGGTTAATGTATGCTAAGAATTTAAATTATAAACCAATATAAATAACCTAAGTGGAAAAATGCATGGTGTGTGTAAACAGGCTTTAACATATGACACATACACAATATATGCAAACATACACACATATATGTAGCAACACTAATTCCGTGGTGTACTTGATAATATATAAGTATGTTTATACATATACATATACATGAAAATACCTCTACCTGAGTAATTGACAAACTATAAAATGCTACATAAATATGATGTTATTGTTATGATTATTACCCTTCCTACAAGGCCCACCTCAATTTCTCTTCCATGAAGCTTATTAAAAGCTAATTATTCCTTTCTCTGAACTCTAATATTATTTGTTATCTGTATCAATTCAATTACACCCTGATGCCTCAGTGTGGTGTTGTATTAACCTTGGGTTCTCATAGGCTATGCCAGCAGGACATAAGCTCTGGCCTGGCCTGTCATGCTGTGAAGACTTTTGGAGACTACATATCTTTCGTACAAGAATCAACTGAGCTTAGAGAGATTCATCACCAGATTGCCTCAGGATGATGAATGTTTTTGGCCAAAGCAATGCAGAAGAGCTATTTATGAAGGGGTAGAGGAGTTGCATTTTACATCATTGAAGAGAAGACTGACAAGAAGGAAATCAGAGATCCTCTTATAGTCAGAAATACCCAAGTTCAAATCCTTCCTTAAAAACTTACAAGTTGTATGACCCTGGATAAGTCACCTAATCTCTTTCACCTAATCTCTCTTAGTATCCTCATCTGTAGAATGGGAATGATAACACCTATTTCACAGAATTGTTATGAAGATCAAATGGCATAGCATATGTAAAGAATTTTGCAGACTTTAAAGCAATATCTGAATGTTAGCTATCATTATTATATTATTAATGAATGTCTACCCTCATATTATTTTCTGATCGTCTCATTTGAGGATAATAGCTGTCTTACGCTTCTTTTGAATCTTCCACGGCACCAAGCACAATGCCAGGCACATAGTTAGGGCTTCAATAAATGTCTTCATGATTTGGGGGATTAAGAGGAGAGGGAATTATTCAGTCAATCAATTAGTATTTATGATAAGCCACCGGGCCATTTACTACATGCTCAGCATTGTGCTAGTAGAATTAGACATCTCTGCCCTCAGAGCACTTATAATCTACTTGACAATATAAGGCATGAAATGGCAACAAACAATACAGTGTAAAGAAATGGTGAAAAAAAATAAATATAAGTATTACAAGTTATAAACACTATAGAATTCAAAAGGGAAGAAATTTAGTAATGACCATAGTAGCCTATGAGGTTTTCCTGAAGGCAGTGGCCTTGTTTCTTAGTTGGACTTCTAGTTAGCCAAATACAAGTTGTTTGGAAAAAAAACAAGTTTTTAAACACTGGGTTCAATCCCAGTCCAGATTATGGGGAAAGGGGATTACTTAGAAGAACTGACTCTGTTGTTAGGTACCTTATGAATTCATTTTCAATTCTTGTAACCATTCTGAGTCTCTGTTTTGCCATGGTTGATTTTTGGCGTGCAGCAGCAGCGCTGATTATAATTTTGTGATGCTTTGTCAGTAACCAGAGTCTATAATTGATCTTCATCTCTAATTACTTTTCTCTCCACAGGTGTCTGGAAAAAGTCCAGATGGGAGTTCACACAACCTCCGCTTTGAGGGGATGGAAAGACAATGTGCATCCTTACCCAGGTAAATCACTGAGGCATCTCCCTTTGCCAATTCACCCTCAACTACAGCCTTTTGAGTAATCTGCATGAAACAGGCTCTTAAATGAGGGATTATGGTGTAATTTCCTTCCACTGCCTTCTGCTGCAGCCTTGGCACCTATGTTATAGCATCACAACTATGCTAAGAATTGAAACGCTTGTGGGGGTTTTTGCAAGAAGAAAATAGTATGTCATTGCAATTGAACATGTCAGCAAGAATATTGGATGCTGAACAGAAATCCTAAACCATCGCTATAAAACCGACACTAAGCATAGAGCATCAGGTCCAGAGACAATATCATAATAAATCCCCTGTCCAGAAAGTTGCCTATGAGTATCTACTGACCTTGGAGCTTAATGTTACTAGCAAAGGGTAAAATTTCACCCAGGTCCCCACAGGAGAGTAACATGAAACTGACTTGAATTATTCTGTGACTATATTCTGTGTGGCAATAACCCAATATTGCTCCAAGGAGCACATATTCTTGAAAGTTGCACACTCATGAACACGACCATGTGGGAAAAGTTTGCCTGGCAGTCCTATCAGAACGTGATCCACTTATGCCATAACTGGACACCCTGGAAAATGAGATCAAATTCTCAAAGGTTTTCCCTCTTATCCTCTAACTGAAGATTAATTCTGGTCTCATATTAGCAGAGCATAACAAAATGAGAACTTTCAAAGACACAAAGTCATGTGTGAATTAGGGAGCTAGACTAAGAACTAAGGAAAAGCTAGTTGAGAAAAGAAAAAATAAAAACATAAAAAAAAATCTCACCTTTTTAATGGAGTAAGGGCTCATTAAAAATATTATTTCTCCAATCTAAGCAGCATCAGACTTGAAATAAGTCTTTGCCCAGAAAGGTAGTTTCCTCTTTGATTCAATGGATAAAGTGTTGGCCGTAATTTTGCACATAATTTAAAAAATAAAATAAAATCCTAGATGCTAAAGCAGGTCTGCTTTTATAAGTTGTGCAGTGGTCTCCAAAAGTGGAAAAAATCCTAAAACTAGTTAATAATCACTTTAAACAATGAATGAGTACGTTGTCCAATGCACAAATCAAAACAAAAATTAACAAATCTGGCTTCCTTGTATCTAAATGTATTTGAATTTTCTCTCTTTGTTATATGCATTCTCTCTTTCTCCTTCATTCCTTTCTCCTCTTCCTGTTTTCCTAGCTTGACATTTTTATTTAGGTTTGGTTTGGTTTCTTATGGGGAACCCACCTACACTTTCCTATAGAGGTCTGTTGATTATAGTGAAGGCAGATAGAAAGTAGTGTGTTGTCATGATAGAGCTAAAAGTAGTCCAAAGTTTTCCTGACCAACAAACACGGCCCTCACTCCCTGCAGAACGCTAGTGTGAAACTGACTAGGGATGAGTCAACATGGATCTACAGACTTGTTCCAAATAAGAGCAAATGAAACCTCTAATGAAATCTAATCTAACAATTATTAGTCATAATGTCCCCCAAACATCCTAGAACAGTTTCTTTCACTTTACAAGCACTGAAATGCTGAAATCGTAGTTGAATATAAACAAGCCAGTTTTAGGATTAAACACTAGGGGAGGGAGTTTTCTGACAAAAGCATCACATTCACAGTATTGTGTGGGGCTGTATCTATCATCAGAATGTGTGAATTGACAAAAAAAAAAAAATCCTTCCAGCAAAGTGGATGTGTCTGTAGCTGAATTGCTCAATTTCTAATGAAAATAATTTTGACAAAAAGTGCATCCACACAATGGTAGCAATGATTAGATGCACGTGTAAGCAGACCTTCATTGCTACCTGGCAACCAGTAGTAGCCATGGTGGAGAGGAAACAGAATTTAGATAAACATATGAAAAAGAATTCATTGGAATGGTTTCTTGTTTTATTAATAAGGAAGATAAGACTAGATTAATTTTATCAATTTCTAAAAAAGGAAATGCAAAACAATCCCAGAGCACTTGCTCAAATCTGTAGATGATGGAGTATACAGAAAAGAGGATACTGAGAGATAGGAGGGTTTCCTAAGCATCTCAGCTAACTTGGAAAGAAGCATACACTTTCTGTTTAAATAGCTGGGACATTTTCCTTGCTTTGGGGATCCTTTTTTTCCCCTCAGGTTTAACTATAGTTAATAGTTAATTGAGACACATTGTCTCCCTTTTTCAGAATTGAAGAACAATATGTCTCTGCTTGTCCTTTCTTCACAAAAGGAGGAAGGAGTTTTAAAATATTTATGAAGTTAAATTTTTAATTAAAAATTGTGATAATTCTCTCAGTTGAAAAGAAATGCCAACCTTGGAGGAAACTTAATGGGCAGTGGGTTTGTTTGGTGCCTCTTTTGTAGTGTGAGTACCTTGTTAGCATTCAAAATATACTCCAGTATGTTGGTTTGTCCATAAAATCTGAACGTGTAGAAACAAAAGGACAATATTTCCCCATGAATTCATTGCTGGGACCAAAATGGTGCCAGGAAACTTGATTGGGGCAGGGGTGGAGGTGGTGTTAGTGTCTTTAAACTAGGTGCATGTAGCCTGTTGACACCTACTTTCAAAATAATGGAAAAAGCAATACGCAAGAGGTGGAAGAAAAAAGAACATTCTTAACACTTGGAAGATTTGTTTTTCCTTTTACTTCTTTGAGTACGGTTTTGGAAATAAGTCCATGTCCTTGTAAATGAGCATCAGACATTCACCAAAACACTGTAACCAGTCCTATTATCATCATCACCACCACCGCCACCGCCACCAATTGACTTTCATAGGTAAACCAAAGGAAATCAACATAGCATCCCTTTCTATTTGCTCAGTACAAATTGTTATTTTTCCTGGGTGAGCATGCAAATGGCTATTTCTAAGGCCAGGATAATATGAGAACAGTAAACGTATGTATTTTTTTAAACTGTCTCCTTTTCATTGAAAATATTGGCTCCAATAAAGCTGGGAAGCAAATACATCATGAAAACTGCTCTGTTTGCTCCCAAGCTTTTCTCTACACAGTCATTTCAACACACTATGTCTTCATATAAGCTTTGATCTTGCCATTCAGAGAATTCTTATCCCCTGGGAGCACAAAAAGTAATTCTTTCTCCATTAGGACCCAAGCCTGGTCTTCTGACTAAAGACTGAGATTGTCCATCACAGAGTTAGATTCATAATCCATGATGGCAATGTAGATATGATCTGTAGCTTTGTTAGCGACTGGCTGATGGATCCCATTGGTGAGAGCATGGCATTAAGGAGGCCAAAATTTGATCCATTGTGCAGGCCAATAAACTTTCTATTGCAGCATAGCCCTAAGTCCAGCCAAGCGTCTTAAAATATGTCATCATTCACAAGTACAACCAGACTGATGTGAGTGGAGGAAAAAGCACAAACCCAGAATGGTACAAAAAATACCCACTATGAAATCAGAATACCTTGGGTTCAAATCCTGACTTAGATACTACATATATGACCTTGAGTGAGTCACCTTTCTGGGTCTCAGTTTCTTCATCTGTAATATGAGGGTATTGACAAGATGACCTCTAAGTTCCCTTCCATATCTAAGTCTGTGATCCTATGATTCTTCTGACTACAAAAGCAGCACATGCCCTCCTGATGAAGCAATATCAATTAAATATAGGAAATAATATGCAGATGTAGCTTATGTATCTGTATTACAGCTTTTAATCATCTTTCAAGTGCTGTCTCAGAAAATCAATCTCTTAATTCCCTTGGAGCCTTCATTTGAAAAATGAAATAGTTTTGATCCGTAAGTGACAGAAGAACATTAATACTACACCCACTAAAGAGGCAATTCTGATTTGTTAGAATGCTCCTGGGACTTGAAAATATGCAACTTCTGAGTTAAGAAAGAGTAGACTATAAGTAGCCTGAGAAAGATTCTTATATATATTCTGGGGGGATAGCAGCACCAAGCATTCCCTACCAGAGAAACACTTTATTTGCCAAGGCTGGGAGTGAGCAAGAACCCATTCGCACCGTATTTTGCTCCCAGGAATTATGATGTCCTTTTACACATTGCATAAGTTTTTTGGGAAGAAAAAAAAATTCTCTCTGGAACATCTCAAACTGTCTTTGATTTGCCTGTGTAATGAGAAGCAGCATACCAATGCTGAATTAGGATGGAAGGAGCAGACAGCTAACACTCACTTCCTTGGAGCTTAAAAGTAAATTTGCTTTCCAGGCTTGTTCTCCGTTTTTCAGCATTGAATACATTTGTGTCCAGATCAGGATGCACACCATAAGGCTACACTTCCGCTTCAACATTTCAGTCATGTTTTGTTGCATGCCGCTTTTGTGTCTGTGTATATTTTTGTCCTCCTTCGGTAGGGTGCCAAGTAGGAGTGCATGGCCAACCTTGAAACTGAGAAGCCATAAACACTTGTCTGCTCTGGAATGTTCTCCCCAAAGCATTCTGTCTGGTCATCTTCTGATCACTTTACGAGCATTTAATCACTACCCAAAGATCCTGTGCCTCTCAGATTTCTCTCATTCACCTCTCCAGTTAACTTCTGTTTTACTCACTGCTATTGAATTTCCCTTGACCAGCCCAGAATTATTTTATAGCATGTGAAAAGCAGATGGCAAGGACATTGCATTTTTGCAAAGCTCCCCAGTATTACCAGTACCATTTTGACTTAATGATAACTACAGAGACAAATGAAACCTAGCACAATCAAAATAATACACACACATTTATCTGTATAGATATAGTAAAAAAAAAAAAACAATAGTAGCAGTTGTAGCAACAGTAGTTAGGATATACATATATATGACACATAAAACACTTTAACATTACAAAGTACACATATATTATTTCATTTGAAACTTGCAGCAATGCTATGAAGTAATTGCAATTATTCTCCTCATTTTATAAATTAGGAAATTGAGAGTGAGAGGAGTTAAATGACTTACCTAGGGTCATATAGGTAGTAAGTATCTGAGACAAAATTTGAACTCTGGTCTTCTTGACTCCAAGCTCAACATT